ATTTGTTCAAAATATTTTTTCCTAAAATTTGTTTAAAAATGTGTTAAGAAATGTGTTCCTAAAATGTGGTTAAATTTTTTTTTTAAAGATTTGTTCCTAAAATTTGTTCAAAAAGTTTGTTCAAAAATAACATAAAAAATACTTTAGCATTTAGCAGCTAAAGAGCCAGCCAACATGGAGCGAAATGGTTTTGACCTAATCTGATTGTTCCTAAAATTTGTTAAAAATAATTTGTTCAAAAGATCTGTTCCTAAAATTTGTTCCAAAATGTGTTCAAAAAATTTGTTAAAAATTTGTTTAAAAATCAAATAAAAAATACTTAAAAATGTAGCAGCTAAAGAGCCAGCCAACATGGAGCTAAATGTAAAGTACATTCATCAATTAGAAGGCAGCACGACTCCGAGTTAGTGCGTCTGTATCTTCAGGTTACAAGTTTTGACCTGAAAAGATCTGTTCCTAAAATTTGTTCAAAAGATTCGTTCCTAAAATTTTTCAAAAAATGTGTTCAAAAATAAAATAACAAATTTAAATGAAAAAAACATTTCTTTGTATTTCTCAATGTCAAATCAACAAAACCACTGGCCCTGATGTGGCTCCATGTTTCCACTGCCCCAAAGCAGCCAGAAATAATTTGTCGATGGAAACAAAAAAATAAATGTAAAAATTTTCAGTGACATTGAACCTGTCGATGATGACACAGATAATGATTCATGATCGTCTCAGGTCTTTTTTTCTTTTTGGAATTTTAGTCATAGTGTTTTCTTTTCTCTCTCCTGCTCAGTTCTATCAAATTGTTACGGCAGCAACTCGCCGCTGACTCCCTCTGCGAGAATATCAGCCCTCAACATCGTTAGCGATTTACTCCGGAAAGTCGGGGTGAGTGATTCCTTCTCACTGTGCTTCTGTTTTCTGATTCTCTCATTCTCCCCCCTACTCCTCAAGCTTCATGTCAAAGTCCCTGTGTTTCCACGGCGAAGGAGAAACTGCATCCTCATCTTCTGTCTCTCCACAGGCGCTGGAGTCCAAACTTGCAGCTTGCAGGAACTTTGCCAAGGATCAGAGAGCCAGGAAGGCGTTTGCTCTGGACAACAGCAACGTCCTCAACGCAAACACATCCAACTACTCGCAGTCGCTCCATACGTCTTATTTTGACAAAGCGTGAGTGAAACCAAAAACCGACCTGCTCCATGTTTCGTCAGTTCATCTATGACGTGAGTGTTGTGGCTGATTGTCCCGTCATGAATTTGGTAAAAGATTGTGTCTCTTGTGGTGGAAATCAAATATGATTTAACCATAAATAAAGATGATTAAATAAAGCCAAAATATCCTGGTTATGAACGCTGCCATCTGGAGTCCAGCTGTTGTATCGAGGTCCTGCTTATACACACTCTTGACTAAGCATGAGTATATTGTAGTCAGCCACCAGGGGGTGACACAGATTAAAATAAACGACATGAATGTTTCCTAAAAACATTTGTCTCTGTATTGTTTTCCAGCAGTGGGACTCAAACCGTACACTGGAAACTGATCACAGTCCGATTATGACCGACAGTGGAAACCAGTAGAACCAGTCATTCAGGAAAATACTTTTAAAGCTCCAACTTCCAACTTCCTCCCAGTTCCTGCTGTCAAGCTCCACATTTAGCAACACGTGCACAAACACTGTGCACACGCATGGTTCTCAGAGGGACCTTTTTGTTTTAATGTCACTCTCTTATGTTTTTGCAGCAGGACCGTGAATGGACTGGAACCTGGCCGCCTGACGGCCATCACCACCCCCCCCGCTGCCTCCTCTGCAGGCTTAGTGCCCCTCGCCGTGTGACGGTAACCCCCCCCCCCACAACCCTAATTCCTGACCTGACACACCTGCCCTGCAACGGAAAACCACATCTAGGAAGAGTGGAAACAAAGAGGCAGCACAAATGTCCATCACCGTAAAACTTTGTTGTACTGTTTCTCCTCCTCCTCTCACTCTCGGTCTGATGTTCTCCCACTTGTGCTTCGTTCCTGCTGTAATTGAGGTTCCTGTCTGTAAATTTCATGTGTTACTGTGTCTGCTGTTTGCTCACTGGCTCTCTGCTGTCGACACCTCTGAAGATTCCCCCCTGAGTTTGTGAAAGGAGTGCACCGATTAATAATCAAAGAAGGGAAATATTATGCAATCCATGTGTTCTTAATGACGCTGTTTGTGATTGTTGTTATATAATTCGAACAGGTTTTTTCTTCAACTTTCATGAGCAATAACTTATAACGTGTAATCGAGTGCCACATGAACAATGTCTCCTAATTACTGATATTTCACAGTGAGCCTCAGACGTGTTAAACATCATCTCTGGTGTCTGGGTGATTTGGGATTTCACTCGTCAACCCTGTATTTTGGTTTTAAAACAAAAAGGGGGGAGGAGGAGTCTTTGTGTCGTGGGCCGAACCCACCATCAACCTCTGAACGCTGTGACATGACGTGTACAGTTCTGGTCATATTGATCTTGTATTTATAGGCAGCGGGTAGAGTGGTGCTGCCGTAGTGTTCACACCAGTAAACCAGCTTCCTTGTATCTGTAGCTTTTAAAATCTTGTTTAATTTATTTCACAAATCATTTTCAGTGCTCTTCGTCTTGGAATGAGAAAGTGAAGCACTTTGACCTCATGTGAACTTTAAATGTCACTTTTTTTATTATTTTCATCCAAGTGCAATATTGTCTGTTTTTTGTTTTTTTTAAGTTTGTGGGTTTGATTTATCTCAGAATTCTTTTATGGCATGTTTTATTTAAAAGTTGTAATCACACTGATCTATTATTAAAGTTGTGATTATTTGATCAGCTCGCACTGTGAAGGAAATGAGGCCGGGAAATTAATTGATTAGCAACTTATTTGATACTGAGCAAACACTCATTCTCTGGCTGAAGCTTCTCAATTGTGACTATTAGCAATTTTAACAATTTTCTTTATATTCACCATTTTGTAGACTAAACAATCGATTAAAAAAAACCTAAATTAAATATATAATGTAACCAAAACAGGGTTCATTACTTTGAAAATTAACTTTAGTTGTGTGTGTGTGTTATAAATATATATATTGTTCTTTTTCATGTATCAATTGTTTAGTCTACAAAGTGGTGAATATACAGAACATTGTGAAAAAGACCTAATCATATTAAAAAAAAATTTAGAAAATATTTATATTGGAGAAGCTGGACCCAGAGGATGATTGTGTTTGCTTTGGAAAAAAACAGATTATTGAAACATTAATTCAGATTGCACAGAAAAATACTAATTTATGTTCGTTCCTATTTATTTGACTGGAAACCAAATGTGGTCTGGTTTTGTTACCACTGCTCCCCTCTGCTGGACAAACAAGTAAGTACAAAAAAGTTATCTGATTCTGAAACTCACTTTAGGCACTAAAGCCATTTAATCCCTAATAAACATATAGTAAATCACATTTTCAGTTATATGTGTCTTTGCTGAAAACTGTAGACGATAAATAAGGCAGATTATTTAACAGTTCATTGCCCTTACATGAATGAATCCTGATTTTTTACAGTACATCTTACATACATGTGTAGAGGAACATTTACCCCTGTATCAAGACAATTTCTATACAAACTGACATCAACAATAAATGTGTATTTTGTAAAATATTGTGTGAATAAGTTTCAGACAGATGTACAGTACTGTATAAAGGTTTAAACTACATTTGCACTTTTTGTTTTTCAGTAGAAAATACATTTTGGATTTCCCAACATTCCCAAATAATGTTTCTGTGAGTCATTTGAATGTGATTAAAGAAACAATAGACAACTTTTATTTTTGTGTTCAAAAAAGGGAAATGTAACAAACTCAAAATCAAATGGCCGCTGAGGCTGCTAACCTGCTTTTAATGCCAACACACTAAACATTTATGCTTTTTATGCTGTTATTGTAGATATTTCAACATATTAGAAAACGATAGTAATGCTGTTGGACTTCAAAAGCATTGTATATTATACAGCAGCAGTATGTTTTAACTTACCTTTAACTTTAGCGCTTTTTAAGCTGGTTTTGTCATCCAGACCTGGCATCCCTGTCCTTGAATGCAACTGAACATTTGTACCAATTTGAAGAAATCCCCTGAGCATTTTGCTGAGATATCGTGTTCACAAGGAAGAACGTTTTCATGTGTCAAAGGTCCGAGGTGTTACCCTGACCTTGGACCAACAAATTCCAATTTGATTCCAAGTGAAAGTTTTGAACCAAATTTGAAGAAATTCCCTGGAGGTGTTCTTGAGATCTCACGATCAAAAGATCGAAAACATAATGCCTCCTGCCACTGGGTGTCACTGCCAACGCGAAGGAATAAAAACACTTAATGGTTTCATTTCTAAAAGCGTCACACTTTAATGTGGTGTCTTAAACCGGCAGCAATGTCTATATGTGTTGTACATGTAGAGCTCAGAGTGGTTACTAATGTAGACATCCCATTCATTTTCTGAAAAGAGATTTTGATGATCAACCATAATTTTTTAACCATCCACGGTCGACTTACCTCAAGCAGCTGAATGTGTAATGATGCTAGATTCTTGTTCTAGGACTATGGACTATAGAAAACTGAAGGGGTTTATTGACTATCGGACTCTAGTAAACTATTCCACTGCCCTTTGATCTCAGACTTATAGAATCCAATTGATCCTTTGATTGACAGAGCTCCTCGATTGGTTGCCAATAAATCTAACACAGTTAGTCACAAACGTTAGCGGCTGGTACTAATGTCACAAATCCCAAAAAATTGAAATGAGTGCAACAACATATTACGATCTCCATCTGTCGGGACTATTCTGTGATGCCATCCTCGAAGTTGAGGATGTTCAATTTCGAATCCATAGGATCGTCCTCTATGATTGTAGTCTTTACTTCCAGTAAGCTGGTTACCTGATCTCAGTGGGAAGAATATTAATCTTATTGATAATTCTTACTACAACTACTACTACACTACTTTTACTACTACAACTACGACTGCTATAAGTTTATATTGTTGTTGTCAGTGTGAAATGGTTGAATATCTTTTTTAAACCCTCTGCTTTGTCTCCTCTCTAACCCTCAGAGCTCTCTTTGAACGCTGGCCAACCAAAAACAATGCTTTCCGCATACCCCTTGTGTCTGCTGACATGATGCGGCTCATCATTGAGTTTGCATACACCGGCTCCGTTGCTTTGACAGAGGACAACGTGCAGGAGTTGATGATCAAAGCTGATATGCTCAACATAATGGGCATTATACAAGCATGCGCCGACTTTATCAGTGAGAAACTCTGCCCACATAACTGCACTGGCATCTGGCAGTTCACAAATATCTTCCAAATGTCTGAGCTGCGGTGCAAGGCCTTCTGCTACATCATCAAGCACTTTGAGGAAGTCGCTCACTGCAAAGAGTTCCTGCAGCTCTCTGCGGAAGAGCTTAGCAAATTCATTGGCAAAGATGAGCTCAATGTGAGGATTGAAAGTTCTGTGTTTGAAGCAATTTTGCGCTGGATCGCCCACGTACCCAAGGAACGAGAGCAACACATTGCTGTGCTTCTGTCTCAGGTAATAATAGATTTACTGCACATCTCCAGCATGTATCCTGATTACTTTAACACCTGCAGCTCGATCTGTTTGAGAAAAACAGTGTTGCCTTAAGTTCTGCTTCAGTTTGAGTTCACATTGACTGATTAATAACAGTTTTAAGTTTGACGTGATATCAACAAGTTCTGTTCCCTTGTCCCTGTGCAGGTGCGGCTGGGCCTGACAAGCGAAGATTACATCAAGACCAAGGTGATCAGCAATAGGCTGGTGAAGAACGACCCTCAGTGCAAGAAAATAGCAGACAGTTCTCTCAAAATTATATTGCACAGACTCGCACACAGATCTGTGCCATATGGTTTGAGGAACACTCTTGCCCGTCCTCGTGTGCCTCATTCAATCATGTTGGCCATTGGAGGGTGGGACGTGAGCTCTCCAATCTGCAATATTGAGGCCTATGATTTCCCTGCTGACCTCTGGATCGGCGTCTCAGACAAGATGGAGCATCCTCGGGCCTATCACGGCACAGCCTTCCTAGATGGTCGTGTCTACTGTATCGGTGGCTTTGACAGACTGAACTTTTTCAATAGCGTGGACAGGTTAGACCTGGCGACACACACCTGGCAGGAGGTGGCGCCCATGCACTACCGCCGCTGTTACGTGAGTGTAACCGTGCTGAACGGGTTCATCTATGCCTTTGGAGGCTCTGACGGACACGAACGACACAACACTGCAGAGCGCTACTGTCCTGAAACCAACCAGTGGACACTCATTACACCTATGCATTCGCGGAGGAGTGACGCCAGCTGCACAGTACTGCATGACAAGGTTTGTTATATATGGAAATAATAATTGTTGTAATAGGTAGTATTATCTTTTGCAGTTGTAATATTTCTGTATTTATTGTGAAAACAGTCACCAGTTAAAACCAAGAAAAGACCTGGGTACTCACTGCTGCTCCCTCTCTCCTCAGATATACATTTGCGGTGGTTTCAGCGGGACCGTGTACCTGAACACAGCTGAATATTATGATCCAGAAACCAACCAGTGGACAATGATCAGCCCAATGAGATCCAGGCGAAGAGGACTCAGTGTTGCTGCATATAATAATCAAATTTATGCAGTAAGTACACGAAACACTGCTGACATCCACATATCACTTAAATAGACTAGACAAATGTATTTATTTATATCCTAACCACAGGCACATGTACATATTTTATCATTGTTGATACTTGATGGATGAATCGGTCATTTAATATTGCAAATGTAAACCCATAATGTTGTGTACCTGAAAAAAGTATCTAAATGTACAGCATCAGCAACCACCACATTTATGTAAAAGGAGTCCACAGCTGGCTAAATGTTAGCATGCTAACATTGTGTAATATTCAGTGTGTTCACCATCTTAGATTGCTACAGTGATTGAGATTTTTTCTACGGACATATATGTCTGTAACAAATCTCATGGCATCTAATTTCTTTTTTTATCTTTTAATGATTTAATTTAGAATTAGTGATTTTTTAATGTAATGTAACTACTGAGATATTTTACTTAAAACCACAAATGGTTAAAATCTCATGGTGGTGCTAGAGAAGACGTCAGAGGATTACTTTTACGTCTGCACCTAATTCCACCCGATAGCTGATGAGATATTTTATTCCTGATAAGAGACACAAAAATCTGGACCTTCTAATCCACCAGTCAAACTATCCAACTGCTGTCTACTTTATTCTGTTTATTCTGTTTAATAAATCTTTGTTTTTCTCCATTCAAATTCTTTTCCTCCTCCAGGTTGGTGGCTTTGATGGTCACAACCGTCTGTCAACTGTTGAGAGTTATGACCCCGAGACCAACGCCTGGAACCAGCTGAACTCCATGTTGAATTGCCGTAGCAACTTTTGCCTCAATGTGATGCAAGACCAGATATTTGTTGTTGGGGGCTTTGACATCTCCTCCGTCACTCAAATGGCAGAAGTCTATATTCCTCACACTGATGATTGGTTTAACATCTGTAAGTCAGAAATCTCCCGCAGCGCCGCATCTTCCTGTGTTGTGTCCGGAATCCCCAACATGGCTGACTACATGGTATCTCGAGACTTACTGCCACATTCTGATGTGGACGATAGTTCATGGGATTCTGACTAACACTTGTGCACAAATGGTGTGCTTTTGGGCAATCAATACATTTGGCAATCAGAAAATTATTAAGTATTTAAAAAACAAAATTCAATAATAACTTTAATTGATAAAAGATTAATCTGGGCACCAGCCTTCAAAGGGAGGGAAAAGATAGCCCCTTTTATTGATTAAGTCTCATGAAATTACTGACTACAAATTTGGAATCCTGATTAATATCTAGAAAATCTCTCCTGCCGAGACATTTTGAATGGGTGCCTTTTTGACGCCGCTCCGCACAGAGAGACATTTCCTTTAAGAGGAAAGACAGAGACACATGACATCCAGCTTGGGGACAGAGAGAGAGTGAGAAACTGTACCAGAGACAGAGAAACCATGTTGTAAGGTCTTATCACCATCCATTGGATTTAATCTTAGAAATTCCGCCTCCTTCAGGCTTCCTGGGAACATCCCGTAACTATTTGGGTTTTTTATTTTGAAAATCTAGCATCTTTCAGGCTTCCTGGGAACATTTTGTAACTATTTGGGGTTTTTATTTTGAAACTCCAGCATCTTATATGCTTCCTGGGACCATTCTGTAACTATTTGGGAATTTAATTTTGAAGGTCCAGCCTTTTTTAGGCTTCAGTGAACTATCTCTAGGGTTAGGAGCTTTTCCTCTGCGTGTCTATGGCGTTGCTATGGTTACTCACTGATTTGATTAGGAACACCTGTTGTCCCCCTTCATTTTAGAAAGACCAAGAAGCTCCAGACCACCCCTCAAACAAAAGCTTCTAACTCAAAATCTTAAAGGCCTATCTGAGAAATAAACACATTGTGAGAATCCCAATATTTTGGCCGACGTACACATATGTTTTTTATTGGTTAGAGTTAAGAAATGAGACAGTGAGAGCGAGTTAGAAATGTAGTTTTCTCATCAGGAATCATTTTTTGAGATTAATAGAGTCAATGGGGGAGCTAGAGTGCTGTGCTCCAGCGCCAGTCTTCAAACAAATGTCTCTTACTCAAAAACTATAAGTCCTATCTGTGAAATGAATTAGGGATTTTTTTATGTAATGTAACTATTGAGATGTCATTTTAATTATGTATTTATTTTACATTTCTAACTTAAGTTTCAGTTTGGTTAACACTTCCCTACTTCAGCAGGTCATATATGTCTGACTTTTACCCAGTGCTGTGTAACACCATGCACAGATACTCCGGTGCGCACTGTGTGTTAAGTCCAGCTCACTTTTTCGACCCTCGCCTGCTCCTGTCTGCAGTCCACAGTCAGGGGGACTTGCGTTCCCGCTAAAGCTGGGTAACAGTAGTCTGTATGGATGGGAGAAGAAGAGGAACGAAGGGGAAAAGGGGGGGATAAGAGGGGAAGGAAGAATTTAAGAAAAAGAAAGGAAGTTCCAAACCATATCATTTGACCTACATCAGGAAACACTGCCTTTATAGACTGTGAACTTTCCTAACTGTTATATGATGCAGTTCAACAGCCCTTTTGTTCTTTGATCTCCTTTGCTTTGCTGCCACAGCTCTTTGATTCACAATTATTTTGTCCATATGACTTTTATTCAATCATTGAAAGGCTCTAGAGCTGCTGCACTTCTGTGTTAGTTGACACTCACAAATAAACCAAACAAAGAAGAAGGAAGAAGAACACAAACCCGAGAAAAGTCAAAATGAGGAGAACAGTGTATAATGAACTCCGTCTGGCAGGACTGTTCTGCAACGCCATCATCGAAGTTGAGGATGTTCATTTTCGAATCCACCGGGCCATCCTCTATGATTGCAGTCCTTACTTTCAGTGAGCTGGTTACCTGATCAGTGGGGAGAATATTAATCAGATATTAATTAGTCTAATACTGTTATACTTTTTACTTTGACCCTTCTGCTTGAGAAGTGATAAAATAGGTTTATATTGTTGTTGTCAGTGTGAAATGGTTGAATATCGTTTTTAAACCCTCTGCTTTGTCTCCTCTCTAACCCTCAGAGCTCTCTTTGAACGCTGGCCAACCAAAAACAATGTTTTCCGCATACCCATTGTGTCTGCTGACATGATGCGGCTCATCATTGAGTTTGCATACACCGGCTCCGTTGCTTTGATAGAGGACAACGTGCAAGAGTTGATGATCAAAGCTGATATGCTCAACATAATGGGCATCATACAAGCATGCGCCGACTTTATCAGTGAGAAACTCTGCCCACAAAACTGCACTGGCATCTGGCAGTTCACAAATATCTTCCGCATGCCTGAGCTGCGGTGCAAGGCCTTCTGCTACATCATCAAGCACTTTGAGGAAGTCGCTCACTGCAAAGAGTTCCTGCAGCTCTCTGCGGAAGAGCTTACCAAAATCATTGGCAAAGATGAGCTCAATGTGAGGATTGAAAGTTCTGTGTTTGATGCAATTCTGCGCTGGATCGCCCACGTACCCAAGGAACGAGAGCAACACATTGCTGTGCTTCTGTCTCAGGTAATATATCTTTCTGTCACAAGTCTAGATTTACTGCACATCTCCAGCATGTATCCTGATTACTTTAACACCTGCAGCTCGATCCGTTTGAGAAAAACAGTGTTGCCTTAAGTTCTGCTTCAGTTTGAGTTCACATTGACTGATTAATAACAGTTTTAAGTTTGACATGATATCAACAAGTTCTGTTCCCTTGTCCCTGTGCAGGTGCGGCTGGGCCTGATAGACATGGACTACATCGTGTCCAATGTGATCACTAATAGGCTGGTGAAGAACGACCCTCAGTGCAAGACAATAGTTAAAGATTCCAAGTGTATAGTATGGCATGCCACACACACACCCTTGATGTGCGGTCTCAGTAACACTCTTGCCCGTCCTCGTGTGCCTCATTCCATCCTGTTGATCACTGGAGGCTGGAAGAACAACACTAAACGTTGCGATATCGAGGTGTACAATCCCCTCGCTGACCTCTGGATCGGCGTCTCAGACAAGATGGAGCATCCTCGGGCCTATCACGGCACAGCCTTCCTAGATGGTCGTGTCTACTGTATCGGTGGCTTTGACAGACTGAACTTTTTCAATAGCGTGGACAGGTTGGACCTGGCAACACACACCTGGCAGGAGATGGCGTCTATGCACTACAGCCGTAGCTATGTGAGTGTAACCGTGCTGAACGGGTTCATCTATGCCTTTGGAGGCTCTGACGGACAAGAACGACACAACACTGCAGAGCGCTACTGTCCTGAAACCAACCAGTGGACACTTATTGCACCTATGCACGAGCAGAGGAGTGACGCCAGCTGCACAGTACTGCATGACAAGGTTTGTTATATATGGAAATAATAATTGTTGTAATAGGTAGTATTATCTTTTGCAGTTGTAATATTTCTGTATTTATTTGTGTGTGAAAACAGTCACCAGTTAAAACCAAGAAAAGACCTGGGTACTCACTGCTGCTCCCTCTCTCCTCAGATATACATTTGCGGTGGTTTCAGCGGGACCATGTACCTGAACACGGCTGAATATTATGATCCAGAAACCAACCTGTGGACAATGATCAGCCCAATGAGATCCAGGCGAAGAGGACTCAGAGTTGCTGCATTCAATAACCAAATTTATGCAGTAAGTACACAAAACACTGCTGACATCCACATATCACTTAAATAGACTAGACAAGTGTATTTATTTATATCCTAACCACAGCCTCATGCACATATTTTATCAATATAACTGCATTTTTTTCTCCATTCAAAACCTTGACCCAAAGATTTTCCTCCTCCAGGTCGGTGGCTTTGATGGCAACAACCATCTTTCAGTGGTTGAGACCTACACCCCCCAGTCCAACACCTGGCACCTGCTGAGCCCCATGTTGACCCGCCGCAGAAACTTTTGCCTGGAAGTGATAGAAGACCAGTTCTATGTTTTTGGAGGGTTCAACTCTTTAGACCGCACGATAGGAAGCAGAGAAGTGTACTGTCCTAGTACTGACAGTTGGGATGAGGTCTGTACTTCAAACATGCCCCGCAGAGCCGCAGGCTCCTGTGTTGTGTCTGCAATCCCCAACATGGCTGAATTAACGTTACCTCAACAGTCACTGCTGCGCTCAAATTTGGGCCATGATACAAATTTCAGCGACTAGCAGTTGGACACGCTCTTTCTTACTCTCTGTCTCTATTAAATACGACTTTTCATGTGCCGAGGGCCTCCATCCTGTCTCTGTAAATACAATGACAACAAATAGAAGCAAACACGCAGCACAAACGTTTGAGAAGGTTGAACGTGGGTTTCAGGCTTCGGTGGAAAAGTCATGACAGTAAAACACAGAATCAGCCGCTCAGTGTAAATTCAATTTCTCTGTAATTTCCCCTAAACTGTCGAATCAGGAAGCAACTCCAGCGTCGTGCAGAAAACTGATTGTTCTTCTCTGAGGTTCACACGGAGTCAAATCATCCACATGAACCAGCGTGACGTTTCACCACGTGATGCGGAACATGTGGAACACGTGTGAGGTTGTTGTGAGTCTTAAAGCGGAACCTTGCTGTCGCCTCGCCGTCGTCGCACGGACTCTTTAGTTGGACGGACCGAGCAGAGGAGAAGCAGATATATATGTATGTTACTGTTTGTGTGTGTGTGTGTGTGTGTGTGTGTGTGTGTGATTGTAAACAGTGAAATATTAAAGATAATTAAGAGAAAGTGACGTCTGATCTGGTGAACATGTGGAGGAAACACTCGAGCGAAGGATCTGAGCGGTTTGAATATTTACAGACTCTGGTGACTGAGTTCCAGGACACAGACAGTGAAGGTGAGCGAGGCTTTGTTTGACTTTTTATCTTCGTTTCACTGCTCGAATCCCTGAGGTTCATCCTCAGAGGATCCACAACGAGGAACCAGACACACGACAGGTCGTTAGTTGTATTGTTCAAACACAGAGGAGCCTGTGGATGACTGGTTCTAGTCTCAGATGTTTTGTCTGATAAACTCTTGAATTTCAACACGTTGACAACAGATTTCCTCAAACACCAGAATCACATGTGATTAAATCAATTCATGAAAATGTTAGAAGCTGATGATGACGCGTGTCCAGTAACAGGAGACACTGACCAGGTAATACTTGTGCAACTACTTGAACTACAAATACTTTTGAATTTTACAAGAGTTCTTTAAAAAGGGCTCGAGATGTTCACGTACAATTGTTCCCTCCGGATACCTGAACTGTGTCTTACAGTGTTATGACATTTAATCACACTTTTCATGCCTCACTGTGTTATCCACCGATACCGAGTCGCATCTGTGAATCAGAATCTGTGAACTTTTATTTTACGTGTTTTATTCTACTTGTTTTTCTAAAAAAGTTTATAAAAGTAAAAGTTTTGTTCACACTGTGTTTCTTTGAAAACTGACACTGAAACAAATCTGGGAATTTTCAATACGATACTAATAATAATGCGATACGATCAAATACTAATAATGAATAACTTTATAACTTAATATTTAAGAGTTTTACTTAATCTGCTGACGTTTACCCACATAAAACATTGTTATTTTTAATTTGCTTATAAAACGTTTGTCACTACATCAGAGGCAAAGGAACAAGTGCTGGCTAACCTGGCCAACTTTGCATACGACCCAAAGAACATGGAGAATCTGCGGGAGCTGCAGGTGACTGACCTCTTCCTGGACATGTTGACTGAGGAGAATGAGAACTTTGTGGAGTTTGGGATGGGTGAGTATTAATCTGCATTATAACCTGTCGTCCTGTCATCTCGTCATGACGTCCATCCCCTCTGTCACCTGTGTCCTGTTCTCAGGGGGGTTGTGTAACCTCAGCATGGACCCGCAGTGCAGAGACCTGATCCTGCAGAGCAGTGGGATCAGCTTAGTCACCAGCTGTCTGTCGAGCCGGAGGGAAGAGACCGTCCTGTCGGCCATTGTCACGCTCATGAACCTCACGACGCCCGTGTCACGCTCTGACATCGCCGTCCCAGCCATCCTGCAGTGCATGCTGCGCTTCTCCCTGTCGGAGAGCCCCCGGCTGCGCAACCTGGCGGCCGTGTTTCTGCAGGACTGCTGCACCGAGGAGCAGGTGGCCCGGGCAGAGCAGCAGATGCAGGGACAACAGACGGCAGTTGGGATCCCGCTGCCCAAAGACACGTGAGGTGTTCACAAAGGATGTTTACTAATGAGAGTGAAGGCAATGTCTTGCACTGTTGGCCATAAGTATGTAGACACTCAAACATCCCAAACCAATCAGTGGACCTTGCCGAGGTTCTCGTAACATTGAGAAGACAGAGTGTTAAATGTATAGGGAGTGTCTATAACAACAATCTGGTCACATCCTGTCAGTTCAACTGGAAAATCACATTTGATTGACACCTGCAGATGACTATGGACTATGAATATGGATGTAACCTGCTGCTCCTCTGCGTCTTCCATCAAAGTGCACGTTTTAGCAGATTGAGTTTAGTAGCTGTGCTTTTTCTTACCACATGAGGGAGACTGCAGAGTTTCAGTTGACCTGAAGGGTTCCGTTGGTGCTGTGGACCACACAGTACGAGCCTGATATAATAAAACGTCTATATTTCCAGAGTTCACAACAATTTGGCAAAAATGTTCTAAGTGTTGTAACTAATAGTGACTAATATTGCTTGTAAAAACAGGCTCACCATCTGCAGGAGGGTTCGGGTTATGTCCTGAAAGGTAAAATCCAAACCCAAAATATGTAGAATAAAAAAATCTCTAAATAAACCTTGAGGTTCCGCTGTAAGAGCCAGGAGCGCTGTTTGTTTTCTTCTCTCTCTTAAGAGCTATTTCTGGGCCCAGTCCTTCAGGTCTAGACAGACGACGACATCCGATCCTGCAGCCCGGCCTCAGGTGGACTGCACATGTAGCTCAGACCCTGGAGGAAATTCTTTGCAGCTTTGAATGTGTGTCTGTGATCCTCGCTCATTTATTCGCCACAAAGTTTTCATTCTTAATCAGCGTGGGTTGCTGAAGGGAATTCCAGGAGCTGAAGAGGCGTGCACCTGCCACCGAGGTCACTAAAAATACCTTCATTCTTCCCGTAAAAAGAGAAACACCAACGCCTGCTTTTAATAATGTGATACAATATTTAATTCATCTTGATGTAAAAAAAAAAAGAGAACAGTGCTCTGATCTTCACAGTGTGACTGAGTCCAGTCAGGTGTTCTATGTTTATCTTATTGTCAACAACCAAAAGTCCAAAACCCACATTTTATTTCTCCGTCTGTTAAAAACTCAACGTGTCGTTGTTTTGTGAGCTGCCGTTTTAAAGCTGTTTGGTTCTTTTGAAACCAGAGGTAACTGTAAGTTATAAGCTGCCCCACCTCCTCCATGTTAGCAGATGGGACATGGTCCAAACAAACAAAAGTGAGTTGAATTGAATCGTTTAGCATTTGGTTACCGGCTCAGCGTCTCCCTCACCCGTCTCCCGAAGGCTCAGACTCTCTCTCTCTAATTATGATTATATCTCCAGATGTTTTAAATTGTCTGGATATATGAAACTAATGAGTGTCTTTGATATATAACATTCAGTAACTTTTTAATAATATAGTAATTCTTTCCATACATGAGCGGAGTCTCTCATTTTCACTTCTTCCGTCCCAGCAGCTTCTCAGCCTCCTCACAGAGTTTGTTCTTCTGCACCTGCAAAGAACCAGAAGAGGCCGGTTTCATACTCGGTCAAACATTAAGAGCAGTTAATGATGATTTTCATCTCGCTGTAAAATACGAATTATTCTATTTCCTAAAAATCCTGAACTATCAGTTAGTCAGAAGTCAGGACCAACTTGCCAACAGGTTTTCAAATGTGTGTCGTGGAAAGCACCGTTAGCACCGAGTGGATTATTCTGGTGCGGTTAGGTAAAGTGTGAGGGAGGCTGCTTTTTTTTATCTGATCCGTGGCTCCAGGACGAGGGTTGGTCTGTCGCCCTTCTAGGTTTATCTAACAGGATGTGGTGTGCGTGCAGACGAGCTAATAGCTCCCTTTCCCTCCTGTCTGGGGGCATTTGGGGGCAACGCCATGTCTACAGTAAATTGTTCCAATCAGCGTCCCAGGAGAGAAACACTAGAACCAGTGGGGGGGTAATTTATCAACGACTCTTACAGCAGCTGTACTCATGTACTGTTCTCATGTTATCTCAATAAACTCAGTCAAATTAAACGTGTCTGTCTTTTATACATTTACAGGAATCTTGGAGTAGAACGCAGTTCTGCAGGACCTCAGCTGAGAAAATTACCTTTCCAGTAATAGTGACCGGGAAGCTGGTTACAAAAAGTACGTAGCGAGGAATCTTGAAGTGAGCGATCTGAAAGGAGCAGAGTCAATGAGTTTAAGAGGGAAGATGAAGCACGAAATGATTTCCAGCCTATTATGGAAAATACTGAAAATTAAAAAAGGACGTGTACCTTATCCTTGCAGAAAGCTTTGATTTCCTCTGCAGTGCATTCCTCGCCTTCTACCAGTTTGATACACGCACAAACTTCTTCACCCATACGAGCATCTTTAACTCCGACCACCTGATGAACACAAAGAAAGAAAACCATGAACCTCTGCAAACTCTTGTTAAAAACTAAAGAGTTATTGCATTAAAAACATTAAAAACATTTTATAAAGAAATAATAACGTTTAATGCAACTGACCTCCAACGTCCTGGTGTCATAACTGTAGTTATATTAAATTGCAGGAGTAAGGCCTGTACCTATTAAAGTGGTGAGTATAGAGTTACGCCTGCTGTTTTCAGCTCACCTGTGCCTCCATCACTTTGGGGTGCGTGTGCAGGAACTGTTCAATCTCCGCCGGGTAAATGTTCTCTCCTCCTCTGATGATCATGTCTTTGATCCTGCCCTGAATGCGACAGTAGCTGTATGCGTCCATGCTGCCGATGTCGCTGCAGGAAAAACAAAACATCGAAAACATCAGCAGCTGGAGTGAAAATCCAGTTTTTCCCTCGTTTCGTTTTCACTCACCCAGTTTTGTACCAGCCGTCTTTACCGATGCACTCGTCTGTCTTGGCCTTGTCCCCCCAGTACTCCAGCATCACACAGTATCCTCGGATCATGATCTCCCCCGTCGTCCCCAGAGGTACCAGCTCTTCAGTTCCTGGGTTCACTATTTTAGCCTGCAGAGATTTTACTCAGAAAATAAACGAGTGGGGAAAATGAAACTGAACGTACATTAAATAATTTCATATGTGTGTCATCGAGAAGGTGTACAGGTGTACCTAATAAAGTGGTCACTGCAAGTATAAAGGGATTTTGGCTAGATGTTCTTTCATGCACTCATTTTAACCTGATTCCTTGAGTGTCATTGAGGTGAGTTGTTTTTTAAATTATAACTCATTGCTGTTTTTATAGAGTGAATCAATAATACTTTGTTATTATGATGTATTGAGCTGATGTACCTCTATGTGGTCCAAGATGTAGCCGACCGTCTCGCTCTTCCTCTCCATGTTGTCCATGGGGGAGGCGCAGAACGTCACAGGGCTGTTCTCTGTGGTTCCATATCCGACCTGCCGGTCACACAAACAGGCAGCGCAGGTTGAGTGTCACGTCTCTCTGTCCTTTCCATCTTTCCTTGTGTTCAGTTTGTGCTCAGCTCAGTGACAATGTGTTGCTCTAATAAATAAATATACGATCTCACAATGTTAAAGGAAAAAAAAGGGATAAAGATAAAATAAATGTAACATAATAAAATGGCAGCAGAGCAGTAAGTAAACCCAGAGATGTTTCTCCAATGTCCCTTAAAACACTTGTGGTAAAACCAGGGATGAAAAGTGAGGATAATGAAACTACCAGAATACTTCTATTAGACCATAGATAGAAGATCCCAGAGTCTAATGTTTCTTCAAATTCATTTTCTGTTGATTAATGAAATGTTTAAAGTCCATATGACTTGACTCAACTACTGAACCTCACTACTTAAAAACTTTATCCACGACCGGAGCTCGAGTTTCTTTGATGCTTTAGTCATTAAAATGAAAAAGGTGCAGATTTGTCGCATAAAATATAAAAGTCACTGTTCACAGGTGCAAATTCGATCAGAGGCAGAAAAACTCAAGTCTGCAGGACGTTTTAGACGAGGTCACTCTGAGGACGTTTACTTAGAAAATCAGGGAGGAGACGATATTCCCAATAAAATGTTAGACTTGTTAAGTAAACTCTAGATTCCATTTATCCTGGGTGGGTCCATTCATCTTATAAATTCACACCTGAAGCCAAACCATCGCTCGACCTGAGCCAGTCCCGCTTCACTGTTCATGAATTTTCCTTCATTATTAAAAGCAGGTGTCAAGTATTTCTCCTAAAAGAAGCTTTGTTCTCAGATTGTTTCCCTCGTCCAGCTGGCGACAGGCTTTGAAAAATAACTTCTCGATGTCTTGCAGTGGAAACCTGATCGCTGCAATCACCTTCAACAACGAATGGCTTCGACTGAAAGAGACTGTTACACGTAAAAAAAAACACCACACTCGTTTTTTCCAGAAGAGAAAATGCTGCAGGAATGTACAGTGGTATTTAAAGTTTCATTCCTGGGATGATGGAAGTACCTCTGCGATTGTTACAGCTTGAAACAGCATCTCACACCTCGCCCCACGTCTGGAGACTATTATAGGTTATGAGGCAGCTGCAGAGGAGTGGCTCGCCACCGCGGAATGAAAAACAATAGTCACGTCTTGGCCAACGTGCACAGATCAGATCCAAACCCATGGTGACACGTCGTCAAACAACCTGACTGTTATAAAAGAAAAGTCTTTAAAAACTATTTCACAGCGACTTCTTTGATTTGTCTGCACACGTGCATCCTGCAGCACGCCGGACCTCGGCAGCGTCCTGCAAATACAGAGACAGCAGCAGAGAGCACGAGTGGTTCGCTTCTCGTCTTCCTGCTCGTTCAGGGTTAAATTCTCACAGACACTTGACTTCCTCCTGCAAACCTCTCACCCTGGCAAAGCCCTCCTCGCTTTTTTCCCCCTCAAGTAAATGTTATAAATAGTGCTGTGTGTTCTGTTGACTGGCCATCCTCCCCTCAAATTGAATGTCTCTTTGCACTGCCCACCTTTGCTCACCTTTTCACTCCTCTCTCCCTCCGTTTCTCGCTCAACACAAACACACACACACACGCTCCCTCTTTGCATTTCACAGTTGGTCTCAGCTTCTCTCGGAGGATTTTCTGCTTCTTCTTGTTCTGCTGAAGAACTGGAGGAGAGGAGTTGGCCAGGATGCGTTGTGTGAGCTGGTTGTTGTTGGGGACCTGCCTCCTGGTCCTGGGCCCCGCCGTGCAGGGAGCCCCGAGCCAGTGCCCGAGCCTCTGCCACTGCCACGGTGACCTTCAGCACGTCATCTGTGACAGCGCCGGGCTGAAGAAGATTCCTCAGGTGTCGGACGCCACCCGTTTGCTGAACCTGCAGAGGAACAGCCTGGGCAACATTCCCACAGGGGCCTTCAGCGACAGCAAGGGGCTCATCTCTCTGCACATGCAGCACTGTCAGCTCCGAGAGATCGGGTCTCAGGCCTTCAAGGGGCTGAAGAAGCTCGTCTACCTCTACCTGTCCAACAACGAGATCAACAGCATCAAGCCCGGCGCCTTCGAGGACCTCACGGAGCTCACCTACCTCTACCTAGATGGGAACCAGATCAGCGACCTGGCCAAGGGCATCTTCTCCCCCATGATCAACCTCTTTATTCTGCAGCTCAACGACAACAAGCTGCGCGAGCTGCGGCCGGGGACCTTTACCGGTGCCAAAGACTTGCGCTGGCTGCACATGAGCGGTAACGAGCTGACCACCCTGCAGCCGGGCTCTCTGGACGACGTGGAGAACCTTGCCATACTTCACCTGGACAGGAACAAGATGTCCACCTATCCCAGTGCAGCAATGAGCAAACTGCGTGTGGTGGAGGAACTCACGCTGGGGAGGAATCCCATGAGGACCATCCCAGACAACGCCTTCCAGAGCTTTGGGCGCTACATGGAGAAACTGCACCTGGACAACATGAGTCTGGAGAAGGTCAGTCGATGGCTTTAATGGGTATTTACTAAGTCGACTGATTCTAATATTTAACATCTCTGACGTGACTGTGGATGTAAACTGCTTGCTAAGTTAGAATAAAGTGCTGCAGGTGTTGTTTAAATATATTCACCTACTTTTCAGATTGAGGACACAGAGAAATTCAAGGGTCTCTGGTAGTTGTTTAAAATAGTGTTTGTAGAAGAGTCAGTTTTCCAGAAAGAAGATTTGTCAGTGAAGGACTCGCTGCCTGATGCTGCTGAGACTGTGTTTCTGTGGAGTGAGAGATTCCAGTGTGACGTCCATGAGTCTAAAACAGAAACTCTTAATGTCTGTGTGACTGTAAAGTCTGAACATGAAGGTTCCTTTGAGAGGGAGACATTTGTTAACCACCTGTTCTGCAAAAATGTGTCTCCAGTCGTGAGGACAGTTGTAGTTTAATTTGTGCAGAGACATCTGCGCGGTCAGGACGTCCACGTGGACTCTCACAGCGTTTCCCACAGAATTAACTTGTTGCTTCCATGACAACAGATTCCGAGTGACAGGTACACAGACTAAAGAACGAGTGAACATTAACGCCACATCTGCAGCTGGAACTAAGAGGTCTGACTGTCTGCGTGGATGGTAACAGCCTTATGGACTCAGAGTCTTCGTCCTTTTTTAACCGTCTATGGTCGAACGAGACAGGCATAATAATGAACAACGCTCCCCACACCACCACCCCACCAACACGGCCCCCTGCCCCTTTAACACACGGCTGCGTTCAGTCCAAGTCCCTGCTGATGAAGTCACAGTGAAGTCACTTTTTGAGTTTTCCTGTCTGGAGTTTTAGGAGAAAGCGAACGAAGCCCGATCCGAAAACTGGCGACACGGCCTCTGGTGGTAATTAAGTAAACCAGCCCTTTAACCTGCAGCTGGAAAATATTAAGTGGCAAGAAATTCCAATGAGATTCTTATCTAATATGAAATAAAGTCTGGCTGCTACATGGTCACCTGACCCTGATCTAGAATGAATTAGCAGTTGTGTCCACAGATGGGACACGAGGCCGATGTTTTCACTGTGAAACATCCTTCTGTCCCTCTAGATCTCACAGCTGCAGGATGAATGTACACACTCTTAGCTCTCGGCTACACCACACTACTTTTCAAACATTCCTGAGCACACATTTGCTTCATGCTTGAGGTTAATCCAATATTTGAGTGTACTTGTGCCACAGCATGGCGGCATCCCAGAGGGGAAAACTGTAAAATAACAGCCCTCTCACGCCGGGGCCTGTGCGAGAGCCCGGTGGAGGCAGCGGGAGACGGCGAGCGCGGCACACACGGATGAGATTAAGCCACTTTCCAGTCAGATGCAGGTATTTTTAGAGTGTTTTTGTTTGCTGGACCTCGGCCAAGCAAGTCTAATTATTACACAAGTGTTATTTTCAGCGAGGTGTGTTTTCTGCTTTGGCCGGGAGGGTCTTGTAAACAGGTCAGGAGGGGTTAGGAGGCAGGCAAATAGAGGCAGGGTGTTCCACGGCGCATGAAGAGCGGTATTTTTAGCTTCGCCATCTCGCCAGTTGAATGGACAGTTAGGCCCTGTGCGAGCACCTTCCTGGCAGAGGAGTGGCCCGAAGAGGGGGACGACAGAAAGATTGGAAAAACACCTCGGCCATGCTGGAAGTCATCCATCTTCCATTGCTTCAAAACACCCGGCCCTCGGCTGCTCGTCGCTCTGCAGTGGAAATTTCCAAACAGCCTCATCTCCTCCAGACGCACATAAAACGAGCCTTCAAAGCCCGGCTCCGCTCTCTCTCATCCATCCTCCTCTTCCTCGCGGACAAGGCCCGACTTGACACGACGTGGATCGGTTCATCTAACACCCCTCTGAAGCTTTTAGCGCCCTCGCAGATGTATATGAAGTAGAAGCGAAAAGAAGGAGGGCAGTGAGTGTCAGTGTTTGCTCTGCTGCTGCAGGAGGAAGGATGAGAGGAGGCTTTCATGCCAGAGAAACACTGGCGAGATTTCCCTCCTTCTGCATGTGTCGGCCTCCTGACAGGAGGGACGGCGGGTCCGCACGGTGGAGCCACGTTTTAACGACACCGTGTATTCAAGTCTCCAATGCTTTGACATGACAATCATTTCTTTGTTTTGTCCAGTTCTCTGATGGTGCGTTCACCGGAGTGACGGCCATCAAGTCGCTGCACCTGGACAACAACAAACTGAAGTCTCTTCCCAAAAGCCTGGAGTTCAGCACCATCACCAACCTCACCCTCTCCACTAACCCCTGGAGCTGCACGTGTCAGCTGGCTCCGCTGCGCAGGTGAGAGACCTGAGCTCACGTTCGGCTGATTTTGATGAAATTGTGATGCTTTGCACACAAACTCCCTAACGCTGATCTTTGTTTTTCGACCCACAGGTGGATGGACTCGAGCCGCAGTCGTCCAGACGCACTGTGTGCTTCCCCCCCTGCACAGAGAGGCAAGCAGGTCAGAGACAGCGCCGCCTTCGGTGGCTGCAGACTCAAGGCCAAGAGGGCCAAGAAGGGCACACGTCACTGAACACGCAGCTGAGCAGGTACGGCATCTGTCAGCGAACGAGCCGACGACGCAGCGAGAATAAAGAGAAATCCTGAATCAAGCCAGTTTTCTACCAAGCTCACTTAAAAAGTCACGAATTAAAGTCTCACAGCAGTTCAACATGAATAAACAGGTGAACAGCTCTTTGTGCAGCAGCGGTGGAGCAGCTCCAGGTTTCTGTGGCTGGTCTGTATTTGCTGTGGCTCCATTACTGCAGGTCACTTTTACCGTTTCAGAAAGAAAACCTGCGACCAGCATCACCACAGGCCAAACAAACAGTCGCTTCCACACAGGCAGGTCTGGGACGCTTCACTGAAGTTAAATGATGGTTCAGTCAAAAGTTTTCACTGATCACTGCTTTTGTCTGAGGTGATTCTTTGGCCTCCGCTTCAGTCCAGAATCACATCTGTCCTGTATTTAGCTTTTCTGTGCATTCAGCTTCAACTTTCAGGCGGTTTCGGAGTTGTTGCTCTGCGTGGTTTTGATTTTTCTCTTCTATTCCTGACCGCAGAACTCTCTGTACCCCCCCCCCCCGTGTCCCTGTCTGAAGTTTTCCATGTTGGCCCTGGGATCCAGGACGGCGTGTCCAGGTCACAGGGTCTCTGGCTGCCGGGCGGACTGTTTGACTTGGCTGCTGATTTTTGTGTCTTTTCCACAGGAGACGCTGTGAGCAGGAGCCTGTCCAGGTGACCGGCTACAACCAGAGCTACGCTAACTCTACTTCCAGACTGTCCGTCTATTCATCTGTCAGATGCCGTCACAAGTGTAAACACAAACAAACACATTCATAGATACACATCCGCTCTGTCACACACACACACACACACACACACACGAAGACCCAGAGACATATTATGAATTAATTTTCACTGACTTATATCACTGTTGAAAATGTAAGTATGAAGTGGACAACATGCAGGAACCATCAAAATAAAGGTCAAGAATAAACAAGAGCCTCAAGGACGACTGTGGATTTGTTGTGTTTCATGGTG